TTCTGTTTGGGCCTGATGATTGGGCTAATTTTATTGGACTCTCATGGTTTGGGCCTCCTCAGGTCGGGCTTCAGATGCGGATTTGGGCTAGCACACATGCCTTCCTTCATGGTTTGGGCTTTCCCAGTTTTGGGCTCTACTTGGCTCACTTGGATTATTTTTGCACATATTATTTTATTCATTCTTTAGTAGGGCTTTTCTGGATTTTAGACTGGACTTATGTCGATTGCATTTCTTGGCTTAGAACATTTTTTCTTGATCGGATTATCTAACCTTAGGCCTTACCCTTGCGGGGGTTGAGGTTCCGGGAATGATTTTATTCCTAGATCTAAGTGGAATGTTTTGAGCCGGCTTTGTAATTGCACTTAAGTCTATGTTCCAATATCCGATAAGCGCTTCACATTATAGTTCTTTGGTTGTTGCTTACTTTTTATACAAGTGAGGAGCCTGTTCCCGCTTGTTCAGACGTTTGTATTCTTTGATTATTTGATAAAATGCATTTAAAAAAAATCTAAATCAATTGTTTTAAGAATTTAAAAAGTGAAAGGATAATATTTTGGGAGAAAAATAATTCTCTTGTATTTTTTTATTGTACCTTATGAACTGAGCAATGCTAGAGTTCACAAACAGAATGGTTACGTTACAAACTCCACAAATTTACTATTTGTAATTTAAATTCTCATTTAAAAATTATTTTAGACTATTTAATTTTTTTATTGAAATTCACGAATACTGCCCCCGTCTCTTTTAAACATTGGATGTTTTGATTTTGAAGAGATTTAAGGGGTGTATTTTGGTATTGAATTTTCAAAAATGTCTTTTGATGTGATGGGTAAAAGCAGGATTTGATGGGTAGATTATAAGTAAAAAAGTATGATGTGATAGGTAGATTATGAAAAAGTAAAGGGTAAAAGTGACTTTTTAATAAAAATAAGAAGTGTTTTTTGGAACGGATGAAAAAAGAAAGAAGAAAGGTTTTCAGGGACAGATGAAGTAGCAAGTTTGTAAAGTTTGTGACGATTGTGAACCAAGTATTTCCCTTATGGACAATGATAGTGCTTATACAAGGTCATACTGGATAAGAATTCTATATGGAAATAAACTGCTAAAGAAAAAAACACTAAGAGAAACAGAATAATACAAGGGAATTACCATGTACACCTTAATTAAATAATACTTTCTCCGTTCTCAAAAATACTTCCTTTTCATTTTTTCCACTTCCAACAAAACACTTCCTCTTTCTATTAAAAAATCACTTTTACCTTTACTTTTTTATACTCTACCTATCACATCATACTTTTTGTCTAATAATCTATCCATTACATCTTACTTTTATTCATCACATCAGGGGCAAAATTGGAAATCAACTACTACCTCCGTCCCGTGAAACATGAGACATTTGCTTTTTAGGAGGGATTTAAGGGAGTGTATTTTGGTATTGAATTTCCAAAAATGTTCTTTGATGTGATGGGTAAAAGTATGATTTGATGGATAGATTATTAGTAAAAAGGTATGATGTGATAGTTAGGTATGAAAAAGTAAGGGGTAAAAGTGACTTTTTAATAGAAATGAGAAGTGTTTTGTGGGACGGATAAAAAAAGAAAGGAGAAATGTTTCAAGGGACGGAGGTAGTATAATTTAACACTTCTTTATCTTTGCTCCAAATCAAAATGGGAAGTCTTTTTGCAAATAGATAAGTAATAATAAGGGTTTTTCTCCATTACCCTTGAAAATCAATGGGCATGCATGCCCCTCCACTCAAGATTTGACATGTGGACTAATATCAATTTTGCTTTTTGTAGTTCAACACTTCAATAATACAATAATTTAGTGAAAAGTTGTTACACGAACGTGGGCCTCGCAGATGTATGAGAAATTGCTCCGAACTACATAAACATTTTATGTGTTATTTATTGTTTTTCCAGTTATAATTCTTACTCGTGACACATGAGATGTTAAAGCACACTCTAAGTCACTTTTCACAATTAATAATCTGTGCTAAAACTAGCTATGTATTGCATCTTACATTTTTTGGGTGTTTGCTGTGTGTGCGGTATACATATCTGGTTGGATGATGAATAACCCCTCCTAGATTTCACTTATGAGCAAAATCTGAGCAATCATTAAGACCATGTGTAATGGTTGATGCCCTTTATGGGTGTTTTTTGCCACATGTTTTTAAATAAAAAACTAAAATCATTTTACTTACGCACGACCTTACATATTTCATTGTATTATTTTGACCTTTTTGCATTCAAATATTTTTTTTAAAAAAATAGAGCCATTTTGATTTTAAAAAAACTAACATAAAACTAAAAAAACACGGACAAAACAAATTATTCGGAATAAAAACTATGCTAAATTTTAAAAACCTAACAGAAGGAAAGAATAAAATTGGTTTACAGATTGGAAATAGAAAAGGAAAGAAAGAAATTGAATTGAGTACCGCTAGCTACATGATATGCACACAAAATAAAAAGAAAAAAGAGGAAGAAATAGGTGAGTGTTGCTCATGATGTAAAACACGCATGAAGTCCATTTGGCATAATTAACGCCAAATGAGGCGGTGGATACAGGCGTCATCTCGCGTGAAAGAGGTGAATCCACGCCTACTACGGACGACCCAAATACGAACCTGCAAACTACTATGCTGAAGAGCTCCATCACGGATAAGAGAATGTAAAACTAATTTTAATCTATCTATTTTCAAGAAAATGATAAAAGTTTGTACTCTAGTATATGAAAACGTAATACTAATGTATTGCGGGTTATTACAATTCCCCAGGATTTTTTGTTTTTTTTCCAAATACATAACTCAAGCACTAAGATTCCATACACTATTGCCTTCCAACGTGTTACATTCTCTTTTCGGTGTACAAAATCAATTTAATTGTAGTACTATTGTTCTTTAAAATGAATAAAACATTTAATATTTTTAAATGTATATCTTCATAAGAATAATTAATTTTATTATTGTTAATTCATATTTTCCAAATAACTCTGCACAAATGCAAATGTAATTGTCAGGGACATATATCTAATTGATCATATTGAGCTCTCAGTGACAAAGACCTACGAGTGATCTTTAAATTTATATTCATGTTTCTTATCCAACTTACACTGTGTACAATTTAAATAATGAATACGAAATATTTAGATTTATACATATAGATATTTTTCTTATATTCATAATTTAAATTTTGATTAAAATTATATCATGCATATTGCACAGGTACGAATTTAGTTATATTAAAAAGTAAAATGTTTGATCAGTCCACCGTGAACCCGTGACACTAATTTAAATCTCAAATACTTTCTCTATCACATAAAAATGTTTATATATTTTGATTTTTATGGTTAAATTATAACATGTGTTGACTATTAATGAATATTTCATTGTTTTAAATAAATATATATGGAGAATGCTACGGGAACTCCACTTGAGTACACTAAGTGTACACTGCCAGTAAAAATAGGCATATACAAATACTTAATGTGTGTGTGTCTGGTTTTGCTGTGGTATACCGTATCCCAAATGAGGTTCCCCAAGCATTTTCTAATATATATTACAGAGTATAAAAATTTGATTTGTTAATTTTTTTCAAAATGAAAACTACTACTCTGTAGTATATTTTACAATAAATGTTGTTCTGTTATAATTATAATTATATATAAATTAAATATTTTTATATAATTTGCGGTCTTGATTTATAAAATTTGATAAAAGATTTCAAACATTAAAAAGTTTAAAAAGAGGAAGGAGTAATCAATTTTGATGACCCAATTGGCCCAAATCGAATCCGGTGAAAGCTAGACCCCGTGCCCCGAATCCAAAAGTCACACAGCACCGGTGAAGCAGCTCGCACCATTACCCGGGAGTGAAAATGCTAGCTCGCCTTGCCGCCCAACGATTGGCGGAGATCCGCCATTCCATCGGCGGTTTTCCACAGGTCTGTTTCAATTTTCACTCCTTTCCTTCCAGTTCCGTAGCTGCCCCATCCCGATTACATGTGATGAATCTCAGCTTTGAAATCTGTGATTTTTTTTGGCTCATCAGGTTTCGCGATCGTCTTCAACTGCGCTCAATTATGTGAGTTTGAATTAGCATTTTCTTTTTAAAGTGCTTTATTTTCGATATGAATTTGTGCTGGTTGGACCCTCATTTTTCTGTGTGTGATTTTTGGTCTGCAGCACCTTAACAGTCCTGATAACAACCCGGACTTGCCATGGGAGTTTACAGAGACAAACATGAAAAAGGTTTTTAGTCTGTTTCGATTTTTGTGCATTTTTTCTTTCTTCTATTTTATCCCATGTCATCGTACATTACAAAAACTGGAATCTTTGCTGGACTTCTTTTAATTTTGACCACTGCTAAGCGTATTATTCTTTAAAAAGGGGATTCTANNTTCAACTGCGCTCAATTATGTGAGTTTGAATTAGCATTTTCTTTTTAAAGTGCTTTATTTTCGATATGAATTTGTGCTGGTTGGACCCTCATTTTTCTGTGTGTGATTTTTGGTCTGCAGCACCTTAACAGTCCTGATAACAACCCGGACTTGCCATGGGAGTTTACAGAGACAAACATGAAAAAGGTTTTTAGTCTGTTTCGATTTTTGTGCATTTTTTCTTTCTTCTATTTTATCCCATGTCATCGTACATTACAAAAACTGGAATCTTTGCTGGACTTCTTTTAATTTTGACCACTGCTAAGCGTATTATTCTTTAAAAAGGGGATTCTAGGGCAGGTATAGAGTACTTTGTGCGTGCAGATATCTTAACCATTCTGTCGTATTTGTTTGGTTCAATCTTGAGTCTTGATGATCTGATTGTATTCAGGTGAAGGAAATACTTACTCACTATCCATCCAACTATAAGCAATCTGCAGTTATTCCTTTGCTTGATCTTGCACAACAGCAACATGGGGGTTGGCTTCCTGTTTCGGCAATGAATGCAGTACGTAGACATGACTTGGATTTATATATAAAGTTATGCACTATGCTAAAATGTTTAATTGTCAACTTCATTGTTAATCCTCAAACGCATATGTAGAGGTGTTTTTTACTCCGTAATTATAAATTATCATGAAATGGTTGCAAATTCAGGGGAAATATTAGATGGTTAGTTAAGTCTATCTGAAGCATGTTCCCTATGCCTTCTGTTTCTAGCACTCTCATCTTTTTAGCTATCTGATATTTCTATTGCATTATATCTCAAAGTTTTTTGTACTTTAGTCACTAGATGGGAACCGGCTTTTGATAATGTAAACTCACTTTCTCTTCCTAATTCAGTTTCCTTATGCTAGTGATAATAATATGGAGTATGAATTTATGAATCATGGATATGGAATTTGAATAATTGGACAATCCTATCCATGCGGAGTAGTTTTTGAATTTTGAGTAATAATATCTTAACAATTTTTTGGTTTGAAGGGGCTTTTTGCATCTACTTGTCTAGGATTCACTGTGTAATGTTGAATGCTCGTAATAAACTATGTCTGTTGATATGAATTTGACTTACAAATCACAGCTCACAACCTCATAACTTCTAAAGACTCCAGATTTCAGTCTCCACGATCTAGTTTCCCAACTCTAGCTTCTGCTTTCTAAACTCTACTCCACATACTCACACTAGTTAAAATTAAGACAATATCTAGACTCTGGACTCCAGATTTCAGACTCCATTATTTGGACTCCACTCTCCAAACTCTATTCTCCCTCTAAAGCAGAAAGGACACACCCTTACCATGCTAATTTAGAGGGATAACAAGACAGCGAGCCTAAAACCAACCCGAAAGGAAACCTTAAGTTTCTAAAATTAAAAAATGTTATATTCTTATTATTCTATACTTAACACTATCTCAAGCTAGGGAATTTAAGATATGCTTCAAGCTTGACACAAAGCTATGAAAATTAAAACATGAACTAACTTGAAATTGGAAATCTGAAACTCAAACTTAACCAAACACTTTCACTTCACTCTTTTGAGTTGAACATCACTTGTTTTTCACCAGAAAGCATGAACTCGTCATACCCTCATGTGCATCATCATCTTGAAGTTCACTCAACTCTATTGCATTCTATAATACTCCACTGAACTCGGTTTACCTTTACCTCACCCAAATCCATTGTTTTCTGAACTCACAGAGCTCTGCATTGACTCGAATTTGCAAACTCGAAACAAAAGTTTTGAAACATTTTTCCATCTTTTTTCTAAATTATTTTCTTCTTTTTAAACAGACATAAACGTGAAGCATCTGAGTAGCCAATAAATTATGATACTTTCACTGTTCATTGTTGTTACAGTATTGAAGAGATCCCTGTGGGAGATGAATAATCCCTCTCTGGCCTGTACCTGGAAGGAAGAACTTTTGATCCTATAGTTCGTGACTAGTTAGGAGATTTGTCTTATTGCTTCAAATATGCTAACTTTATTAATGATTGCGTGAGTATGAATAGGCAAAGCCTTATAACAGACCTACCATAATCACACTAGAAGCATGAATCCTTATTTAGGAATATCAACTAAAATAGAAATTTTGAGGCACATCAACCTCCAAGCCTAAAGCTCTCTTAAATCCTGCACAATAAAGTCCAACTTTCATAATGTTTTTTACTAAAAACCCATATAATTCCATTCCCCTTGCTCCCATGGGGTATCAATCCCGGGTGGGCTTCCCATGTTGAATCCGTGGGGTGGTCCTCCATCCACTTGACAAACTAATTTTGAGGCACATTGACCTCCAAGATACATAAAAAAACAGAGATAAAATCCAAAGCAGACACATGCAAAGACAAGCTAATGTTAACGGAAGAAAAATACTGCAATTAGAGAGCACCAAGCATATAAGGAATACAAAGCACACAAGTCTAGAAAACTACCACCTAGCCCAAAGCGTCTACCCAACTACACTAATCCTAGCTATTTAAACACTCCTATCTAAGGTTATATCCTGAGTAAGGGTAAGAAGCCCTAAGTCATGTCTAATGACCTCCTTCCAAACACTTCTTAGGTCTACCCCTTCCCCTACTCCCGCT